TATGAGCAAATGCAACTCGTCCTGTAATCGTACCAGTCCTTTTGTGATGTATCAGACACATTCATACAACCTACAAGTTTAAAGACATGAGGATCCGAAGTATCAAAGTACCATCCTAGCTCGACCAGCGCGTACCCATCACCATGAAACTGCTCTGGCTCTGTAACATTCAAACTGGAATACTTCTCGCTCGTTAGAAAAGCAACGTTGCATCCTCCTTCCGTTGCGTTGCCACCTTGGGGGATCTCTAAATTGACTCCTACAACTTGCGGCTTCCCTTCTGGTATCCTTGCCTGGCAGCATTTATTACCGTTGCAAATCGTGTTTCTTACTTTCTGGATACTAGTCTTTTCGTTACAGGTCGACATGCAACCGATGCTCTCCGATTTAATATCGGTCATAACCGCCTTGGCGTTGCAACCAACAGCCACAAGTTGGTTCTTATCCGTGAGGAAATAGGGGCTGCCTTGGCCGGCAACGTTTAAAGAAGGTGGTGTAAGCGGGTGAGATGTTCCAGTAGAGCAACCAGAGGAAGTTACGGGACCTTTGATGTGAACAACTCCATAAAAACGGTACTCTTCATCGTTTGGAAGAGAGATGTTCACCAATTCTTTGTTGATCCTTGAGAGATACGGAACAGAGTTTCTTTTACAGACAACCTCGTACCACGGGTTTAGGTAGCAGTCTTTCCCAATACCGAACGGAAATGGAATTGATAGTCCACCGCATACTCTGTTACACAGAGGTGTAGGTTTTCTTGCTGATGAGACGCCATCGATGAACAGAGAGGTAACTAGAATAAGACAATAGAGATTGTGAGTCACTGCCTTCATACTGATCTGGTTCTTGTTTTCTCAACTCGGTCTAGTATTTGAAGGGGGGAAAAAGAATCAGGACTCAGCATAGTTGGACGAAATTTCCGATAAGTGTAAAAAAACTTCAAAAGCTCAAGAGGGATAGTTCTCATTTTTCATTTAAAAATCTTGGAATTAATTAAATTAATAACCAAATGAAATTGCATAAGATTATACATAACATAAAATATAATAACAAATTTGTAACTTAGGAAAACAAACTACATATTTTATGTTTATGGCTAAAAAAATATAATTTTTTATTTTTTTTTATAATTGGTTTGAAATATATTAATATATGATTTAAGAAGTAACCAAATGTTGTAATAAATGGTTTAGGATATAATTAAATAAAAAATATATTATATATAATAACATGTATGAATATATTTTATTTTCTTCTAGGATGACTAAGTATGTATCTTTAATTTTTATTATTTATATATATTTTTAAAAAAATAATCCAGTTTATCACATTGTTTGGTGCAGTTTTATATTTTTAAAATTTATGTTTTAAGATAAATTTTAATATGGTATCAGTATATTTTATTTTATTTTAGGAGATAATTAAATAAAAAATATATTGTATAATAACATGTATCAGTATATTTTATTTTCTTCTAGGATGACTAAGTATGTATCTTTAATTTTTATTATTTATATTTTGTTAAAAAATAATAATCCAGTTTATCACATTGTTTGGTGCAGTTTTATATTTTTAAAATTTATGTTTTTAAGATACATTTTAATATTAATATGGTTTTCTGAAAATTGGATTGTATAGTTCCATATACTATCAATAAGCTTAGTTAAATTTATGGTAAATAAGATTTTATGAATAAATAGGATTGCTTTTTGTTGTTAGTTTTGTAATTACGTGCTTCTGATTCTATTTACATTTATTTTACTATGCGGATGCTTAAATTTTGAATAAACTTTTATTTAATAAGATGTCATGGTCTCATGATAAGTTTCTAAATTTTAATTAAACATAAATGAATCTTTTACAGAGATGAAGGAGAAAAAGTAGGCGGGAGCTCAAAGGAAAAGAAAAACTTGAGTGTGTCGGAAAAGAAAAAGAAAAAGAAAAGAAAAGGAAAAAAAGTATAACGGGGAAATAGTTTTTTTAGGCAAAAAATGGTAAAATTGTCTTTTTAGACTAATTTCTATTATTTTAGGTCTCATTCGGCTAAATATTTTTTTAAATGACAATAATACTCTTAAATTCAATTAAAAATGATAAAAAAATATAAATAAAATCCTTAGATTGCAAAAAAAAAACGAGAAGAAGAAACTGTTTTATCCGACGGGATCAATCGATCCCAGAAACAGTCTGTCGATCCATCCGACGTGAGTTCCCAAATCAAATCTAGAAAAAAACAAAAATCAATTTTTTTACTAATTTTTTAATCAAAAATCGTTTTTATTTATGGAAATTAAATATTTTCAAATATTTTCTTCCTATATTTGCGGAACAATATTTTCAAATATTTTCTTCCTATATTTGCGGAACAGAATATTCTTATCCGTAGAATATGTATTCTACTATATGTAAAAAACAATAATAATGTTTGAAATCAGGTTATATCGATTTTAGATTTATAATAATGTGTAGATTCTGATTTCTACTTATTTTAGATTTTATAGCAATGTGTAAAATACGTTTTCTACTGATTGTAGAAGGATAGTTTAAGCGCGGAATCTGTATTCTAAACATAGTAGATTCAATGAAAAAAATGGATTTCATTTTTTACTTTGTAGAATGTCACTTTTACTTTATGTAGAACATAATTTTTCAAAAAATTATTTATATCTGTTTAGAACTTGAAAAATATACCACTAGATTGATATTGGTGTTTCCTAATTAGTTATTATTTTTTTATTTTTTTGGTTTCTAAAATTATTTATTTAATTTATTTTCGAAATTAATAAAAGACAGTATAGAAAAAATATGATAAAAAAAATTAATCTAAAAGGACAATGTTATCCTTTCTTGGCCAAAACAAACAATTTTCCCAAGTATAATATAGAGAGTGCACAAAAAAAAATTATAATATAGAGAAATTTTAAAGTATAATTAAAAGTCATATAATTCATACAAGTCAAAAATGAACGCGGAATATCATAAAATGGCTAATGGGTAGATGACGGACTTTCTTGTTTTCGACCAATGAAAATTTGAAAACCAGCCCATTATGGCCGAAGAATTTACGTTGTTTTTTTCCTTTGGTAAAAGAACTTTGTTTAATGTTCCGATAAAACGTTTAAATGGCTGATGCAAAAAAAAAGAGGTGTGGATGACTTTTCAAACTTTTGATGTTATTCGGAAACTTTTGGACTAGTTGTTGAATACAGTCTACAAAAAATAATCGATATGTGAAAATAGAAGTTTTGAAATTTTGATGTATTCACAATTTTATTTTGTGTGTTTCATACAATTTTAACTAACTTACCTTTTTATTTATATTATTAAAATAATTACTAGCGAAATAAATTAAGCATTTTTGAAATAAAATTATTTTAAAAATGTATGAAAAACCTAACACTTTTTTATCACATCTTAATTTTGTTATAAGATTTTGTTATAAGATTATGTAATAGTAATTTTTATTTTTTAGATCCTAAAAGGGAAACTGTAAGAGAATATCTTGTGTAATAATATTTTTTTCCAAATTTCTTTTAAATCTTAAATAATTAAAAATTGTATTATATATTTTGATATATGTCACAATATTAAATTTTTATTCACACATGTCATGATCATGTTAATAGTATATTTAAAGAATTAAGCATTATATAATAAGATGTTACGATCATGTTAATTATTAACTTTAAAAATCAAATTTTATATATTTCAAAATAAAATTTCAAAAATTACTAATATGAAAGAAAAAAATTTGAAAAGTTTCGAATTGAATAAAGTGTTCCTAAACAACTATGCCTCCTACCTCCAGCTCCGGGTTCACATTTAATGGCCTCAAGGAAATGAGTTGCTACGTCATTTCCTCTTGCAGCTTGTCTTCGTCCACAAGTTTTGATCTTTTGACCGCAACGATACTTAACTGTTGTTTCAACAGCAAACCTCCATTACGTTTGAAGAACATTCTCCTTCGCTTTCTTATAAGTATGAACAACCAGAATGTCCCTGCAACCTAGAACACCTGCAGCAACAAAACAAAACATAAGGCACTGTTCTAGCTTGTCTTTTAATAAACTCAACGTGCTCTTTTGACTAACCTACAACCAAAGGCCGTTTGTCTGGCTTGGTTAACTTTGGCAAGCACCTGGTAGATCCAACTAGGTTCGTTCTCACAAGTGCCTTCTCCACAGTAGTTAGGTATTTTGCATTCATCAATGTCTACATATTCGAAACATAGTGAGGGAGTGTATGTGATTAATGGTCAATAATAACAAAATAAAAGCATGCATGCACTTACCCTATGCATCCACCTCGAATGTATGCGTTTCCTGTGTAGCCATTGCCACAATAGCAGTTCCTATAGTTGATCCCGGAAAAGTAACCGTAACGGCAAAGGCAGTTGTCATCAGCAAAGTAGGACCCATTAGAACGGGTCAAATTTATGCAACCCAATGGGTCCCTAAAGCGAGAATCTGAAGTAGCAAAGTACTATCCTAGTTCCACCACCGCGTAGCCATCCTCATATGGAACTGTTCTGGTTCAGTACCATCCTAATTTATTACTTGATCTTTGGATCGATCCTCCTCACTTGCCTCTCGCATTTGTAGTGTCTTGTGTATATCACAGCCTAGCATACAACTCATACTTTTCTTCTCGCTTGATTGTCGCTCTTATCCGCTGTTGTAAACGTGTTTAGCAACACAGAGATAGCAAGTACACTGGTGTATTAAGATGAATCTTAAGCAGAGTTTATAAAGTTTAAACACGCATCTCTCTTGTACAGAATATCTACAATCTCAAAACTACGCCGTTTTCCATAACTTGAAAAATTACTCCAACTCCATTTAATTGATGTCTAGCAACATTGTTCCTAGATCAAGAAATATAAAAATTTGAAAATCACCAAAACTGATATATAGAATTTGTAACCATTAGAGTTTTATGTATTAATCAACTACATGAAAAAAAAAATTGAAAAAAATCAAATTTAGGGGTTCAAAATGACATTTTAGTGTTCCCCACTCTCACTTGAACGCGAGTGAACAACACAGCTTACCCTTTATCGGTGATTCCTCTTGAAATTCTTTTGATTTTGACGTGTTTTAACATTTTTGGAAAAAACCAGCGAGTGAAAACACAAAACCAATAATCCGGTTTAGTTATTGAATCAAAATCCAAAACCAGAACCGTTCTTTCTTTTTCTTCTTCTTCACTCTATCAAACGAACAGCTCCTTAGTCACAAAGTTACAAACGCAAGCAACATGAAACACCCTTCGCCACGAATCGCGATCATCTCAAAAGCAAAATCCCCCACCACTCTCATCAAGATCTCCGCCATACTTCTCGCCACCGTCTCCTTCTTCTACTAGTGTAGGTTAGCAAATGGTGTATAGTAGCAGTTAGAAATACAGTTACAGTGTAAGTTAGCTAGCTAACCACACTTTGTAATATAAGCTGTGATACAGTGTGTACAGTAAGATTAATGTGAGAAATACAGATTCATAACAAACTCGTCTTCTCTCTCACATTCCTTCTCTCAATTCCTTCATAGCTGATTTACATGAGGTGATTGATCCTCTTGCTCTTCGTCGTCGTTTTCAATATGGATTTCTAAATCTTCTTCAAGTGATGAACGGATCCTCTCCAGCTCAATCGAAACTTCTCTCATGTTTGGACGTTTCCTTCCTTTCCGGCTTAGACACCTTCCAGCGAGCTTTGCTACCGCCATTACTTGGTCAACCCTTTCATGGGTTTTGATTCGAACATCAATGATGTCAAACACTCTGTTTTCTTTCATGGCTTCAAGAAAATCAGCTGCCAATCCTCTTCCTTCTTCAGACCTGACACGAGTTAATGGTTTTTCTCCAGTTATTAGCTCCACCAAGACAACCCCGAAACTATAAACGTCACTCTTGTCAGTATATTGGCTTGATAAGAAGTACTCAGGATCCATATACCCAAAAGTCCCTGCAACTAATGTTGTCAAGTGAGTTTGATCAACGGTTACCGATCTTGAAGTTCCAAAATCAGACACTTTAGCTCTGTACTTCTCATCTAATAGTATATTAGTTGTCTTGATATCTCTATGGTATATTGGAAACGATGCAGCTGAGTGCATGTATGAAAGTGCTCCTGCGATCTCCGCAGCTATGCGAAGACGCACTTCCCAAGTCATGTTGTAATCATCTGACTCATCATGAAGTCGCTTGAACAAATCTCCATTGGGAATATATTTATAAACCAAGATTGGTACTTCTGTCTCCAAGCAGCATCCCAAGAGTTTCACAATGTTCCTATGGTTTATCTGTGAGAGAAGTGCGACTTCATTGATGAACTCTTGCATCTTGTCCTCATCCACAAGTTTTGATCTTTTGACCGCAACAATCCGGCCATCTACAAGCATTCCTTTATACACAGTCCCTTGACCTCCTTTCCCAAGAACTCTGTTCATGTTGAAGTTATCAGTGGCTTTCTTCAATTCCTTTGAGGTAAAGATCCTTGACATCTCTACATTTCCGTCTTTTGTTGTGGTTAGTTGTTGTTTCAACAACAAGCCTCCATTACGTTTAAAGAACTTCTTGTTGCGAATGATCTTTCTTCGCTTTTTCACAAGTTTGTAAGCCCCCAAGACTCCTAGGACGAAGAACAACACTCCTAGACCTATAAGAACACCTACACCAACGTAATAAATCCATTAAGTAAACTACTTTTTTCGTAAATACATGATGTTTACTCTAAGTCACCTTGAAGAACAGAGGTCTTTTGTGGCTTGATTACAATGGGATCGCAGCTATATGTTCCAGGCCAGTTCACACAAGTCCTTTCTCCACAACTGTTGTGTCCTTTGCATTCATCTATGTCTACACACATTTTGAATCATAGTAATTAATGACTTGTTCAATGGTCAATGCATGAAACAAATTTAAAAAGAAACTTTCAGTTTACCTATGCAGCCATGTTTAACATATGGGTTCCCTTTGTAACCATTGTTGCAATAACAGTTCCTATAACTCATCCCAGAGAAGTACTGATACTCGCAACCACATTTATCAAAGGAGGAGTAAGAACTGTAACGTGTCATATTTCTACAACCTAAGGGACTCTTAAAGTGAGAATCTGAAGTATCAAAGTACCATCCTAACTCTACTAGAGCATACCCTAAAGAATGAAACTGTTCTGGTTCGGTTACATTCATGGGTGAGTACCTCTGGTTACTCAAGAAGGCAACTCTACACCCTTCTCCTCCCGTGACATTTATATTGACACCTATAACTTGTGGACGGTCTAATGGTATCCTCACCTGGCAACATCTATAACCATCACAAACAGAGTTTGTTACTTGTTGACTACGTTTAGTGTCTTGGCAGCTCGATTCACAACCTATGATCTCTGAGTTTATATATGTAAGAGACGCCTTGGCACCGCAACCAACCGCCACGAGACGGTTTTGGTCTGTGAGAAAATATGGACTTCCTTTGCCTGTGACATTCAAATCTTGCGTTGACTTTTCCAGTTCTTGACTAGAGCAACCCAATGAAGTCACGGGACCTTTGATGTGAACCACTCCGTATGGTTTATTACCGTCTGGAAGAGAGATGTTCACCACTTCAGTGTTGATCCGTGAGAGGAACGGTACAGTGGTGTTACAGATAACCTCGTACCAGTTGTTGAGATAGCAGTCTTTCTCGCTTATTCCGAAAGGGAAGGGGATAGAGATTTCCCCACAGGTTCTAATACAGGAAGCTGAAGAGTTAACATCTGGAAGTGGAGGTGGTGGTGTTGATGAGGATGAGCCATTGATGAGCTGCAGAGTTAGGACAGAGACTGCAATACATAGGAAGTTGTAATACTCTGTCTTCATACTTGTGTTTGAGATATTTTTTTAATGTGAATAAATGAGATCTGAGAGATATTCTAATAATTTAAAAAGTCTAGTGAGGCATTCAAAGAAGTTTGGATATAGACGCGTGAAGTGTTTTCAATTTCAACAACAAAAACAAAGTCAACAACTTCCTTTGGCTTCTTTCGTTTCAATCATTGTCTTTACGCACACCATTGACTTTACACTTAATGTGTATCCCACTGGTGCTCTCAAATTGGACGGTATAAACCAGTGAACAAGTTTGAATGCTATATAGACCAACTGGTTCTTGTTGAATCTGAGACTATTCCATGAACTCTCTGGTCTTGTGTTGAATGTTATCCAAGTGTTTGATTCTCGCTTCACAATCACGGTTTTACTCGTGGGTGTCCAAATAAACAGCACAAAGTTCGTTACTAAAACGTCAAGTTGTCTAAGTATTGTTATCCACTTATCAGCAAGTAGCTTTGTAATTAAGTTTCAATAACAAAGACCTTAATCACCAAGCCCGTCTAGCTCAGTTGGTAGAGCGCAAGGCTCTTAACCTTGTGGTCGTGGGTTCGAGCCCCACGGTGGGCGATTGTTTTTTTTTTTTCTTAACTTCTTGTAAATGGTTATAACATGATTGGTGAGGCTCCTAATGTTATCCTATTCCTACAAAATGCAAGCTTATGGGCAAGGGAGTCCCGATGATTCTAAGGTTAGGATTCCTATACAAATATGTAAATATGTATTTGTTTTGTATTTGACAAAGTTTCATAATTTGAGTAATTCCAAGAGTATATTAACACTTGCATAGTAAATGCTCGTGGTTCTATCAAAAGTCCAAAAACCTTCATGCATTCCTACATAAGCATTGGTCTTTACTCTCTAGACTAGAGCAAAGCCAGCAGTTTCAGACGACCTTGGCAATGTGAAATTTCATCAGGATCAAAGTGTGAACCGTTTACAAAGTGAATCCATCTTTATTTTGACTTCTTCATGTGTGAACCGTTTATTAAGTGAATCCATCTTTATTTCACTTCTTCATGTGTGTAACAATAGTCACACTAGTTTTAAATCATCTACTTACATACTCAGTCATATCCATAAAAACTCACAAATAGCACAGACTCTGTAGCTCTATATCACTTTAAGCTCTCTCAGCCATTCGGTGTGAAGCGGACAAGGATCAGGTTTCCCTTCTGCAATAGCTTTCTCTGAGAGCGAATAAAACCAACCATTCCTCCATTTAAACTGCATTAATCAACAAAAACTAGTTCAGACACAAGACACTGGTGCACACATATCGAAAAGAGAGATAAAAGGGATATATATACTTCTTTAACAGCGGTTGGGAAATGAGCAACAGCTCGAGAATAAGCACATAGTCTCTCCACCATATCCTCTTCAAAGGTCAGTCCTTTCTCTGCAGCAGCAGCAGCTGCAAGTTCTTGAATCAGTCTAGACACCTGGATGTAATATGTAAATCAGAACCAAACCATGATTTTTAAATGCTTCAAAAACAAAACAAGGAGCAGAAGCTTTTGTACTTCATCTCTGTAGTCTTTCTCCACCATTCCCACACTTGCACCTGGATGACGGGCTCCAACAAGCATAAAAGCGCAAATCCAAATGAGTTTCTCCAACATCTGCTTCTGAAAGGCTTCCTTGTCAAGAACCTAACCAAAGAGAACACATTTACATCACTGTGCAATTCTCATACTAGAAGAAGCAAAAAAAAAGGTTTTGGCTTCATGTAACCTTGCAAGAAAGGCCACCAGATTGTAATCTTTCAGCTACAGCTGAAGCCCATTTTCCATAAGCAGCGGTCAAACCTTCCGGGTTAGTATCAGTCTTTCCATCAACGGGAGGCTCACCAAGCTTAGACACAGCAAAATAAGCCAACACTTGGTCTGTATCACCCAAACCTTTGCTCTCAAACCAAGGCTCCATCATTCCATTTTGAAAGAATACCAAATCTGAATAATTACAAATAACAGTTTAGTATAACATGTCATGAAGCTGAAGATAAGAGTGTAACAAACTATTAAACAGAATAACAGAATATTAAACCGGTCGGTTAAGAATAGTTAACCGTCTAATCTTGTTTATAAGTTTCTAACCGTTCCATCTAGACTGAGGAGTAGCTTCAAGAACAGCATCAAGATCATCATTCCTCGTACAAACCAAAATGGGACCTTCGAAATCAACAGGAACTGGTTCTCCTCTCTTCACCAAAACATCATCGCCATTTCCCATCTCTTGCAACGCTCTTCCTACTCTTCCTCCGCCCACAATCACAGCAGGAGCTACCTTCTTAGCGGTGGAAGCAGAGGCGGCCATTGCCATTGGCACGACGAGTTTAAGAGATTGAGAGCGACGGGGAAGAAGAGAGAGGCGAGTAGGGATGGAGAAGGAGATAGAAAACAGAGTGCTGCTGGCGTTAGCCATTGAGGAGATGATAATGGGCTTCTTCGGACAAATGTTGTTGTGGCCTCTCTCTCATGGGTTTACGTAAACAGTGATGTTTTATTAGCCACTCGATGTTTTGATAGCTTATCTCGGCTTTGGATGATGACTCATGAAGCCAAAACAACATGATGTTCATTTTTATAGAAAGCAAAACAACATGTAGTTGAGAAACACTTGCTTAAATCTATGTGAAAAATTGATCCAAAAAAAAAAAAACCTATGTGGAAAATAGTATAACTTTTGTGTTGCACAAAAAAAAAATAGTATTAAACTTTTGTTCAAGCTAACAAAAACATTGCGCTATTGTTACCTCTCAATCTAGTGATCAAGTCGAAACAAAACGAAACACATCCTGCATGTCCAGACACCATCAGTCTATTCTAGGCTACTTTCAGATGCTTGTCTTTTCTGAGGAAAAACATAGCACACAAGGAGAGAATTTGTCCAACAATGTAGCCTCCTATAGCTCCATAACACACACATATAGGCCACTCCTGTTTAGAAAAGCAACAATATAAGGATTAATTCTCCACTCTCTTGAATGTATAGCGGGAAAAAGAGGTATCACCTGCCATGGCCTTTCCCAGTCGAGCGGCATAGGCCAAGCTCCAAACCATCCTCCAATAATTGATCCATACGCTGGAATCAAGATCATATATTCTACATTTCCACATGGTCTATACGAGACAAAAAGACGAATTAGGAACGGATATTTGTGTGAACTATCGTTAAAAAAAGCTAAAATATATAAGAGTTACTTCATCGAGGCAAATAGACGATGCCACTCTGTCGATGATGCACCAAAAACTGCAGTTGCTGGTACAAACTAAGAATTTTTAAATTATTAGAGACAATCTAACGTTTGTTCCGAACTGCAGATATCTCTATATATCAACATTATTGCTTCTTTTTAAGTGATAGGAACAGCAGGAGGAGGAGGCAGATTACCGTGAAAACAGACATTAGAAAGGACCAGTGAACTGTTCTTGGTAGATATCTGCATGAGATGAGAGGTAAATGATCATGTCAGCACCAGGAAACCAAACAATCTCTATATCTAAAAAGGTGATAACAATCAAAATGAAGGAGTCTATTTTGTAAACCGAAAAAAAGGAAACAAGATGAAGGTGGAAACATACTGCATTCCAATAGGAGCACCCAAAGAAATTGCTCCCAAAGCATTCAGAAAAGCGCCTGTTAATCAAACCAAAAAAACAAAGGCTTGAATAAGTCCACAAGTCTAAGTAGGTTTTGACTAACAAGAAAAGCTAACAGATATCGCCAACTCGGAGAGTTTGAATTGGTTTATGTTCATGTATTGCAAAAGAATAAAGAAGTAGCAACTATAAAGAATAAGAAGAAAAAAATACTAACCAGAAATTAGTCCTAAAATGCTTCGCCCAACGGCTCTAAACCACTGGAAATCAATTAGGAGAAAATTAAGAGAGAGTTAAGCACAAGAAACCAAAACACATACTTCTCCAGCTTCTGTAATTTCAAAATGCAAAATTATAACAAAAGAAACCTATCTTTCAGTAAAACTGCAAATCGCTTGCTTGGTTGTGTTTTTACAGAGAAAATAGTAAGTAAAACAAGAAAAGTCAGCTTTTTTTTTTAATCCTTTCAACTTAGCAGGATTGAGCATAGACTCACCGAACATTTCTCTGGGGCTTTCCGTAGAAAGCTGTAGATGATTACCACAACCGGAAACTCAATACTCTGAGATTAAATAAACACCAACAACAAGGCTACATTAGCTAAAAAGAATCAACATTTGAGTAGTAGAAAAAGCATTGAAGTGGAGTACTAGTACCCAAAGGAGAAAGAGAGTGAGAGATGGATCAGAGACGAGATCGACGGATAATTTGTTTCGCGCCACCCAGAATCCGACGGTCAGAAACAATCCAGTAATCAAATAAACAAAACATGCTCCCAGAGATGATATCGAACGGTCGTTAGATACACAAACGGAGGTTCCTGACTCCGTCATGGCGCGTTCCCTTCTCTCTGCTTCGGGATCAGAACGGAGTAAAAGAGGAGACGTAAGTTTTTCACATATTGGGCCTTGTTAATTTATATATGGGCGTTAACTTTAAACTCATAACGGGCCTATGGGCCTAATATCTATTTCAGGCGGTTGCCTGATTATTTCAAAGATGGAGGTATGCCAGCAAACGATTGATTTCTTCCCATTTGGTCAAAAGTTTGTTTACGAAGAAGCGTTCTACAACTTTTCTATTTTCTTTTTCATCTTTTAGTATATTTTATTATTTTATTTTTTCATGTATTGTCTCAAGAGACTCTCACTAATGCTGCTTTGAGAGTCTAGTTTTAGTCTTCTATTGCAGAACAAGTTCATCAAACTAACACACACACGCATAAAGCATGTACACTACCATCGGTGAATCTTCTTTTCTTGTTGGATATGTTTTGTCCAGAAAAAAGAAGTGACAGATGAAGCTTTGAAGCGTCACAAAGAAAAGTATCTACTATCCTTCACTAGCAGAACATGTTCTGTCTTGGTCCCACTCACACACATATATACACACTTTAGGCTTTGGGAACAGTTGCAACAAAACCACCAAAGGGCTTTTGGTCCAAAGCTCATATCAGAAATGGAGAGACGATCTATTGCATTGTTCACCATCTTCCTTATTGTCCTCTGCTTCCCCATCTCATCAGATTCTCAGAAGCGCAGTCCACCAATAAACTTACACGACCAAGAACCAGCCCATGGTTCTCTAAGTGCTCTATATTTAGTATATATTGTTTCTCTTACGTTCATGGCCAAACGTATTTACTCATCTATTGTCTGCTCCTTTGTACGGCAGAGGTTACAATCAAAGACATAAAAGGAGAAAAAGAAGAAGATAAGAGTATTGACATGTTCCGAGTAGGGACAGGATCTCGTGGAGTTACAGGTGGAAAAGGTGGAGGCCGGAAAGCATCTCCAAAGCGTAACGCCGCCAAGGAACACCGGCCACAGTTGTTCTTCTCCACCACCTCCGTTCTCTTCAGCGGGTTTATAATGCTTTCACTAACTTCTTTCGACATGTAAATAAGATTATTATGTTGTGCCTAAATCTCTTAACTTAGAGTTTAACATATGTTAACTGGGTAATTGTAAACTTTGAACTCTACCACATCTTATGAGGAATAAGAATAACACAGGACATTAAGCATGAATTTATAAACAGTGCCTAATCTTTTTCAAGAAAGCTTTTAACAAGCCGGTTCTTGCAATAGTAAATTTAGGCATCTCTACAAATATGGCCCACGAGAGTGAACGATTTCTTTTGCATTGATTGAACGTGGAATTATTCTAACAAATATACAGACCAACCAAGAACAATCGTTTTCTCTTTTAGAATTTCCCCACAACAAAATTAATGGCTAAGCAGAGGTTTTTGTACTTGAAACCTCTTTCCATAAGCAGAAGAAACAAGACTAATCTTAGTCCATCAAAAACGCTCCGCTGCAATACCTGATAAAATTCCAGCACATACTTTTCAGTAAAAATCATAAATTTGTCACCAAGGCAGAGTATTTAGTTCGTAAAATACAGATTGTTACCTGTTGCTGAATCTTCCAACAGCATCTGTGGCATCAAGAAGAGTGTCACTGGCTTTCTCCAAAGCCATGTAGAGCTCTTTACCTCTGCTCACACGGGCGATCACCCACGCATTGTTCTTAGCTCTTATGCATATTTCCAAGTCTTTCTCCTTCTTTTGTGCACGGCTCTTTTCTAAATCTACTTCTTCTCTGAGCTTGTTTAGTGCAAGTAGAGACTCCTGCGTTTTTCGAATAGCTTGAGTTAATGGCCTTTTCAAATCTCAGCTAGTAACTCATAATGTTGAAGACGTTACCTTTGCAAGTGTTGCTACTTTCCCTGAAGGAGAAGCTCTGGAAATTTCCATGTCATTATCAACTACCAAGTAACGGTAACCCTTAACATGATAAGCATTCTCACCTCCCCACCCCCTTGAAATTTTCTCTTCAATTTTCATTATTCTCAGCGATGCCTGAAAAGGAGATATTGAGTATATATTAGAAGACAACAGAAAAGAGTTAAGCCAATAAAGATCAGTAGGCGATGCGCTAACCTGTTCAATAACTTGCTGTTTTACGGCTGAGATGCTTAAATCTCCATTTAGAATGGCAGTTGTAGGCAAGAGAAGAAGTAAGGTGAGACTTTTATATTGATAAGCGAGGAGATACACTCTTTCTTGTGTCTGTTGAAGCCAGACTGTAGGGATAGCAGAATCAGGTGAACCACCAGTCTCTAAACCCCAAATATCAGTTACAAGAAAACCATCTTTCCCTTTTTTCCACTTATCATGTTGTAGTGGCCTTATAACATGAAGCATGTTATCACCATTTCCTGAATGTAGCGAGTCAACTGAACCAACGGGCGCCGAAGTAGATCTAGAAGAGACTTCGGATGAGCCACTCCCCTTTCGTAGATAAGACCAGGAACTCGCGTCAGAGGATAGAGCTTTTGAGGTCAACCTCATTACAGTAAATGTAAACAAGTTGACGGTATCATCAGCTGAGAGAGTTGTTGAAACCAACAGATCTTGAAATAAGATCATAGAGTGGCATCGTAAGTTCCCAGCACATGAATCTAGTACTTGAACAAGAGACTGTACATCCCCCAAAAAGAAAAATGCTCGTCAAATACCAAAATTGTAAGGTGTGTGATCAAAGCTTAATAGATATGGAGAAACAAACCTGAACTTCAAGTGCAGTGTCCCTAGCTAAAGTAAGCATTTGAACGGTTCCACGCTCACTCAAAGTAGTTTCACGGAAATTTGGTAGCTGAAGTTTCTTCCCAACAAAAAGATCTGCCGGAAAGAGAAAAACTTTGCATAAGCTACTACACACGAAGAACCAAACCTGAGCATAATGCGGTTTTGCACAAAATCAAAAGCAAGGCATTCGAGACAGCAACTTCAAAGCATTTTTACCACAGCAGCAGTCTTCCGAGCGAGACCGCTTTTGAAATGCTGGCATTTAGTGACACAAAATGGATTGAAGCCAGGAGACAGAACAAATAACAGTGAATAATATAAATATGGTAGATTTGGGTGACAGCTGCTTACTGCTTAAATAATCTGCAATGAAGGGATACAACTGTGCTCGAGTAAGCCCTCCTGTTGGTTCTTTCTCGAGTAATGCTCTAACTGACCCGTGAAACATCACAAAGAGTGAGTGTACTTCCTTAAGCACTCTCCTCAATGCATCAATCCTCCATATAGCTCCTGTTTCCTTATTTTTATCCACAACCTGCCAATGTCAAGATCAGATTCTTTTCATTGACATTACTAAAACTACATTCAAC